AGTGGACGTGTTATGTTAACTCCAAAAGCATTCTACATAAGACAGAATAAAAGTCTAAATGCTTATGATATGACCTGTTAAAGTCCTACTGTATTAAGCTCCTTGTGACCTATTTGACTTCAACTATTTCTTCACTCCCAATACTTACTATGCTCTAGCACACTGGCCCTCTTGCTTCTCCTGGTAACCCTCTGGCATGTCCCCCATTGCCCTCCGAACTCTCTGAGACAGCACCTAGCAAAATGCATGGTGCAAAGTATTCAAAAGATACTAAATTTATTTAATAAATATGAGATGAATGAACAGATTCATTTTTTTTCATGAGTGCTTTCACCTTTATTTCTCTTGATATATATCTGAGATATAGACATTTCATCCACAACAGGGTTGTGACATGTGTATGTTTTATGTAAGTGACATGTGTATGTTTTATGTAAGCCAGAGTCACAACCACGGCTAAAATAACAGCTGGCCCAACAACAAACATCACTGAGAGAAGGAAGTTCACCATCACCTTGACAATCCATGACTTCATTGGAGAATGAATCACTCCCGGGATTCCAAAAATGAAGTCATATGAAGAAGGTCTGTTATTTTTTTGGATCTTGAGAATCACTGTCAGTAGTCAGTTGTGGGTTGCTTTCCTTGATTTCTTTCAGCAGCTTCTGAATTTGAGCTACAGATACATCTATCTTCCCTCCGAGTGTCCAGAAGGGGTACCTTTGAAGTTTTAAGGCATCCCGCAACATCTTTACTCCACTGTAGCCTACGGAATTCTGGCCCAGGTGCAGAGTGATTAGGTTCTGATCCCTTCATTCATTCATTAAATACCGATTTGTATTAAGTCATGAAGATAGAATTTAAAAAGAGCATCCTCTTTCATTTGGGAGAGACAAGTGAAGGGAAATTTGCACACTATGTTTTAGTGCTTGAGCAGGAATTAGACCATATGCTATATGAAAAAAAAAATTTAAGAGCACTATCTCATTCAGTCTTGAGGTTAGGAAAGTGCCCTCAGCAGAAATAATGCTTGGACAGAGAGACCCGAAGTTTGAACAGGAACCGCCCAGCTAAAGAGGGCAGGTGAGAGGAATATCATCTTTAGGGGAACTGTGGGTCTGCAGCTGGACTGGAGTGAACTTGTGAGGGATAAAGCGTTCATAAATTGAGGTGTGATCCGGGCTCTAGTCGTGAAGAGCCCTGCACGCCCTGGCAGGTGACACAGAGAGACAACGGAGAGTATTAACCAAGGGAACGACTCAAATGACTCTTAAAAAGATAATAATGGCTCTAATATGGAGAATGGGTTGGACTCGGGCAAGCCTGGAGGCAGGAACATCAGATACGATTTTATCGAGGGGATGTAAGTAAGAGATGAAAATGGACTGAGGCTCAGAGGAAGGCATGGAAGACACAAACGGGCTGTGCAGAGTTAGGGCTGGATCCCTGCTGCTTTCAGCTCTGAGAACGCGAGGCCAAGCAGGCTCTCCGACTGCGGTCTGCAGTACCACCTGGCATCTGTGCTGCGTGGAATTTACGAACAGCTGCCGCGAAGCATGGCCATGTTCAATCTGTGTAAACACTTTGCATAAAACACCATCCACCTCAAAGAATGGACAGCAGGCACATGGAAAAGTGTGATGTTTTACACACAGTACAGTTGTATTCAGTTCTGTTCATTCAGTCATTCATTCATTCAGAGATATTTATTGTGTTGCAACCAGTGTCAGATACCCTCGGAAGAATGGTGGCGACAACAGTGAACAGCAACGAAAATCTCTGCCCTCCTGCAGATTCTGCTCCGGTGAAGAGAGAGCAAAATAAACAGATGTTCACAGTAATGGGTCAGATGCTGATGACAGCTACAGAGACTAAGAGGGGAGGGAAGGGGGTTAGGAAAAGCCAGGGGAGGGACGAAGGCAGTCTGCAACTGTGAGAAGGGAAAGCGAGCATGACTACACTGATAAACTCTTTTTTTTTTCATTTTCATTAAAGGTTATTACAAGGTATTGAACATAGTTCCCTGAGCTATAGAATAAATTTGTTTTTCATCTATTTTAATACATAGTGGTTATCATTTGCAAATCTCAAACTCCCAAATTTATCCCTTCCCACCCCCTTTCTTCCCGTTACCATCAGATTTTTTTTTTTTTTACTATGTCTGTGAGTTTATTTCTGGTTTGTAGATGAGTTCATTAGTGTCTTCTTTTTTCTTTCTTTCTTTTTTTTTTTTTTAGATTCCACATATGAGTGATACACTCTAATAAACTTTTGAGTGACACTTGAAGCAGACAGGGTTCCAGGCAGGCAGCTCTCCGGACTTTTGAGCAGAGAAACAATTTGTGTCTTACCATAATGTTTTCACTCTGAATACCTTACTGGTTTTAGGGCATCCTTTGTTTGACGAGTGAAAGGTATATTTCTATCTGGCAAGCAGTGGCCTGATTCCTCCTTAGAATCTCTCAGCTTCTCAGACCTTCTGAGAGACAGATAAAAGTCAGGGGGTGAACCAGGTCCTTCCCTGGAAACTGCTGGGTCCACTCCTGGAGGTGACATATGGCAGCAGATCTCAGGCACGGCTGGCATGTCTACAATTCTATGTCTAGCCAACATCAGCTGTGCCTTTATTTGGATATCACTTTGTTTCAAAATAAAAATAGTCGCATTTTTTTCCTTGAAAAATATCATATATACAACTAAAGTAATTTTAGAAGAAACAATAATAAGTGTCAAACTAAAATAAAAATCCCTTGTTTTCTGTCCAGAAATAAGCAACTGTTATATCTGAGGTCTTGACATTCCAGATAACCCTGAATTGGAGGTGGGCGGGGCGTACACGTTTAAATAAAGCAGACCCCGTCCTTTTTTCGGTAGAACAGAATTCCATTGTGTGAATGTAACACTCGGTTGCTTCTTGGTCCGCCTCTTCTTTCAGAAGATACACGCTGCTGTTTCAGGCATAGTCCGATTGGAATGTTCTATTACCAAATGCTCTCTGCCTGTATATTCCTGACTATATATATATATATATATATATTTTTTCTTTTCCTGGAGCATACAGTGATACAATTTGGGGAAGACCTTTACCTGAACCATTATAAATAGGATATTTATCACGCATATCTTCGAAGAAAGAACTCTGCTGGGGACTTTAAGGTAAATTCAACATATAAGTCAGTGTTAAGACAGTTGTTCTTTACTGAGATTTCCTGACGTCACTGAGAAAGTTGCCTAATGCCTCTGAGCATCTTTCTGTATCTCAGTGTGTTAGTCAGTAAGAAAGATGACATAAGTGAAGAGACCTTGTGACTGCAAAATGCCAAGCAAATTCAAGGGTGTTATTAATTATTAAGACAATCCTTTAGTGTCTTAAATCTCCTGTTTTAAATTCAACTCAGTGCTTACATCTTCTAACTACAGGAAGTCGAAAGGACCAAAAATTCTAATATTGAACTACAGTGCCCCCTAGCCCATGTCTGCCGTCAAGACAGCTTCATGAATAAGCTCTCACCAGATGGTTCTTTTGCCTGAGGGAAGGGCCATTAATTGTACTTTTGGATGGTGTCCATCTGTCCAAAAGGAAAAACACTTATGTGTTTTCTTCAGGATTTTCCTATAACGTTCTTTGTATTTTGAATTTTAAAATAGGAGTAAAAAGTAAATATTCTTTACAATTTCAGTTTTCTTCCTCCCAGTTGCTTTAAAGGAAGAATATTTCTAAAAGAGCATCACCAGATGTGCCCTAAGACTCACTGTAACGTTTCTGTTTTATATATGGTTATCTGTCCGCATTCACCAAATTCTTTATAATCCGTTGTGAGAGAGGATATTGACTATAGAGCTTTTTCTCAGAGAGGAAACGTAGGGTTAAGCTTTTTTGGGTAAGATTGCACAGCAAACGGTTAGGAACCGCAGAGTCTAGTTCCCAGATGCATTAAATCCACCAAAAGATACAGAATTCTGCAAGAAAAGACCATGGAATATTTTAATATCACAATGTGGAAATATTTGTTACCACAGCCTATGAAAACTCATATTGAAAATATATCGATTGCTTTCTTCCATTGATTACAATTCTTTATCTTTAGTTCTTAGTTTAATAGGTTTTTAGAAAAATTTTTACATTTAAATGGTCCAGTAGGTAAGTTGGGTCCCAAAGTGATGAGTCCTTGGGAAACTGAACTTGCTCTGTGGGTTTATTTTCCACGCTGGGCGTTTAAGTATTAATCAGTGTAGCTTTCAGGGATTTCTTTCTAACATCCTTTTCTATGTAAGATATAAGGGCTGCAATTCATTAGACCATTGGAGGAGCCAGAGGCTTTGCTAAGCTTTGCCTTCCTTGACTGTTCATCTCAAATTTAATGGGAGTACTTGTGCGTGTGTGTGTCTATATTATACTGGTGACCAGCCTTGAATGAGGACGGAATCTTGGTTATCTTTCAGGCTAAAATCTCTCTCCTCTTTAGGGGTCAAAGGTCATTTCAGCCTCAATGTTCTTTCTGCTACCTTCTAGGGAGGCAGCAAATGGGATCTTGTGAACGTGGAGGTGACTTTCATCGCCAGTTGTTTTTCTTTACATTTCTCTATCAATCTAGCTCAGAAAACACTCAAGAAATAAAAACAACTCTTTACCCACTGCTGAGTTTCTGTGATCTGATCACTTCTAAGTGAAAACCTCTATTACCTTAGCAAGGGTCCCTTGAGTCTTTTATTTCTCTTAGGAATAAAGATCACAACCAACAAACCCTCAGGCCCACAGCAAAGGGAATGCAGGCACGAGGCACCATTACCATTCCTTTTCCCACTGCCTTGTAAACTTGGGAGGGGAGGCTCAGTTCGGGCGAGGATGATGACATTCGTGGGAGGGGCGGGATAGAAGTGTGTCTAATTACACGGTAATGGCAGAACTCGCCTTCACCCCGTCCCCTCCCCTCCCTCCCTCCCGCACCCCGGTGAATTTCCCCCGCGCGCGCCTAGGTGGATCCGGGACCCTTCTCTCTTTAAGAGCCTCCCGCGCCCCTCACTCCGCCCCCTCCCAGGTCTCTGGGCTCATCAGCGCTTCCCGAGAACCATGGTTGGTCCAGGCAGGCAATCGGAGCACCTCCCGGAGCCGCGGCGAACCGGGGGTGGGGTGGGGTGGGGTGGGGTGGAGTGGGGGGGTCTGTTTGTAGTACTCGCAGTCCTGATGTCACAGGCGCGGCAAGGACATCGCAAGGAGGAGTCGGATTACAGTAAGGATGGGCAGTGCAGCAGGCAGCCCGAGCGCACGCTCCAGCCGCCGGGGATCGTAGCCCGGGAGAGGCAGCCCGCGAGGCGCTCATCCGGCGGAGGAGGCACGCTCGGCGCCCGCTGCTCTCCGCCGGGGACCTTCCCACCGCATGTAGCATGAAACGGCTTTGCTCTGCGTGTCAGCCCGGGGTGCGAGCTGATGCCGAAGACGCCGCGGTGGGGTTCCAGCTGTCTGATTAATGAGAAACATAATGTATTTTGGTGAGTGTTAACTCTGATGATGTAATCCGGGGGGTGCCCGGCGCTTCATCCGTGCAGACGAGCCCTTTAGCAAATCTTAAAAGCCTCGAGAATAGATTACATGAAACCTACCTCTCTCCAGCCGGCAACTGGAGGATCGAGCCGGTGCAGCCCTCAAAGCTTCCTTTGTGCTACATTTGGGGCTGTTGATGAGTCGTAGACGAGTTTTAAGTTGGAAAAGGGAAGAGACGGGGGTGGAAGGGGTGGCTAAACTTTACCTTGATTTGTCTGCATGAAGTTGGGGTTTTTTGTTTGTTTGTTTGTTTGTTTGTTTTAGCTAGGTGAGGACAGAGAAATGGTGCGGCGTGGGAAGTCATGCGCTAACTTAAATGGAATGTAAAACAAAGTTCTGTGCTCCCGAGTCTGTGGAAGCTTAGTCAATACTGATGCTTCATTAAGCATTTTGGTTTGCCCCTAATTCTGAGACAGAAAGGGAAAACATTCTTTGGCGTGCAGTGGTTGAGCAACTGAGAGCACCCCTCCACGCCATCCCAGTTTTCCTGGCTAGCTAGAGCAGCCTAGCCCAAAATGCATATTATTTTAAGCCCTTTTTAGGGCTTGGAGCTGTTAAATATTGGTGCAGTTTAGTTGTGTGCCAGGGTGGAAACCTCTCAGGTTTTCTGCTGAGCTGCCTGCATTTCCAGAGAACATGCTGAGGCTTAGATCTGGGCGATCCGTGGAGCACTGTAAGTGGGCTGGGAGCGGTGCTTTCGCACTGGAACGCTGCAACTTACTAGGGGAGGAGGCAAAACCCTTCACTGAATAGGAAACCAAGGATTAGGACTGAATTATCTTTCTTCCTCCCTGAAGTTATGCTCTCCTCCTCTAAGGTCCATCAGGCCTCATCACCCGAGAGCATCTATCTGATATTAAAAGGTTTTTGAGAGCAACCGGAGAGGGGTGAGGAAGCATTCCAACACATGCAGATGCTCTGGGTGATGAGTGGGCTTGCTTTCAATGTGAAAGCTAGTCATTTTTCAGATTACAGAGGCATTAAGATAAACTTGTAGCGAGGCAGAATTGGTTTCTGGGGCATTTATTTCCCTGTGTACTATTTGCTTTCTTTTGTTTTCTGGAGCCTTTGGAACATTTGCGAAAGTATGGGAAGGAACCCCCGTTGCAAAAGCTGAATGCTTTTAGTTGTCTTGACAGCAGTTTTGATTTCCCTCTAATTTGTGCCATATTAGAAAAGAAGTCTTAAAAATAACTCAGATTGATTTGAAAGAAAGGATCCTCATTTCAGAGCCAAATTCAAGCAGAATCCAGAGTTAAACAAAACCTCCTTCAGAGCAGGGAGGGTAGTGATCGAGGTGGTAAGCGGATTTATTGGCGATGAATGAAATAACAAGTGATTATGGTGAATCTGTCTTTGATGCATGCAAAAGCTTATGTAAAGATGATATATCTTTTGGACAAACTAAAATTTCGGCCTCTGTAATGATATCTGAGGGATGTGAAGTGAGATTGTAATTTTAGCTTAAGTTTTTGGCCTCTTGCAACAATGCCTAATGTCATTGTGGTGAGTAGGGAGTGTTACCCAGAGCAGTGGCGAAGTCTGAAAGTACTGGTTAGAGGCCATCCATGCTGGACCAGATCTTCCTGTGGCTGTTGGAGAAATGTTCCCTCGGCTAGCTCAAGTTATTCACTGCTTGCTAGTCTGGTTAAAGCAGGGTGATTCAGAGGGCAATTAGTTTCACTGTGTAATGCAAGTTTTTAATAGCACGCATTGAAATGTGATGTCTTACTTCAGATGAAACTGTACTCTTTGAAAGACAAGGCTGAAGTTGCCCTCTGTGTCATGAGCGTGGTTCAGTCTCATCATAATTCCGGCATGACACACATTTTGCTATTCTTGGAGGAAATCGTGTGTATTTAGGAACACTGTTTCTCGCAGGTTGTGTTATGTTGCCCCTCGCTCGAGCCGTCTGACATCCAGAACTCTGGAAGTCCACCTGTCTCTAATAAAATGCGTGGTACAAGAGCGGGGGCAAGAATGGAATGATTCAATCCAGGCATGTTAAGATTCAACAGCATTCTAACGTTGCAAATCTCTAAGAATGTGTATGTGTATATGTACATATGTGTATTTGTGTGTGTGTGGGGGGTATGTATCCTAAATTTTGGCTATTTCAGGTAGTTTTTCAAAACAATGCTTTCACTTTGCAGTTTGGTGGCCGTTACTTTCTTCTTCGTTTTTGAACGGCAAAGGGTTTATCGAGTCAGGGAGAAGAGGGACAAAGGGGTAGCCAGGCTGCACTCTTGGCCTTTTCTGGTGATTTGTGGGAATGGGGTAGAGGTGTCAGAAGTCTTTTATTTGTGTCCCCAGCAGGGAGTGATGAAGAGCATGTGATGCTGTAAGACGCAGTGAATTGATATGCAAGCAGGATATTTACATCCCTTGTAAATAATCTAATTTGTCATTGTTGCTCCCCCTTCACTCTCCACCTTCTTTCAAATATAACTGAAGATTCATTGCTTGGACAGGCTGGCCCAGCCTCTGCATCTTTGTAGACTTCTTTCCTCTTAGGGGCTGGACGCTTGGACCTCATCCTTGCCCAGCTGGAGTCAGCCGTGTATGTGCAAGTTGGTGGAATATGTAATATTTCCAGTTCTCCAGAACAGCTCATGTTTTGAGTGTGCTGTCTCTGACTTACAAGACTAATGGACCCTTTTAATGACTTAAGCCTCTCTCTTATTTCCTATTGAAATTGTAGTGCAGCGTTTTCAATAATTGTTCATTTGCACTCAAGGCGCCGTGATTTAAGAGTTTGCTGTTCAGTCGCCGTGGATACTTTTGTTACTTATTCTATCGATCTTGCATTCATTACTTGAAGTTAAAAATAAGGTTTCACACGGGAGAAAGAAGAGGAAAATCCCAGTTAGCAACCTGCTTGGGACTGACTGTAAAGAGCCAAGGGAAAAATCATCAGGATTTAGGAAGTCACCCTCCCCACCCACATGAATATTTTACATAGTTAAAAATTACATGTGCCGAGGATGAATCGCCATTAATAATGTATCCGGGAATGAAAGCCAGCAGCTGGGAGACTTTCCCCCAGATTAAGGCAGAGGCTGTGGGTGGTTGTCAGTAAGCAGACCTGCTCCAAGCCGCCTGGTCACAGTTGGGTCAGAGGAGCGCGTGGGATGAAGGGCGGTGCTGTGCTCCAGTGCATCCTGGCAGAAGGTGGTACCCATGCTCTGTCTCCTGCTCTAAGTATGTCTGAATCACCTCCCCCTTTCCATCTGGCCCAACACATTTCTCCACTGCAGGAGTGGTGAGTGGTTGCCAGCGGTCATGCCAACCTCACAAATTGTCCACAGTTGGCCAAGGGAGGTGCCATGTCACAACCCTTTGCCATCAGGAGAGATCACCGGAGCCTGATGGCACTGAGGAAATTCTATGTGGCCGCAGATCAACCCGATGGAGACTACAGTGCACTCACAGCCAGGCAGGGGCCAGGGCTTGCTCCATGAGAATCCTGCTGAAGAAAGAAAGATACACTTTAAGCAAATGAAGAGAACCCAGAGACAATGATCAGAGCTCCCTCTGAACGCCACAGTTAATGGCATATTAATTAAACCTGGGGAAAAGGGCGAGCAAAATTTAGAAAGCGTGAATGAGCCACTCAAGTTTAGCGTGGTGTTAATTGTAGATCTGCTGTCTTCTTTAAAATGCCTTAGAAAAACAAGAGAGAAAAAAAAAAAAAGACTCAGTGGTGTGCCTATCCCAACACAAAATAGTTGGTGGAGGAAGCTTTTAATACAACAGCAAGGAAAAAAAATCTCGTAGGAAAATTCCAGACCAGAAGCCTGTTCCCTTGCCTATAATGGACACGTTTGTACATTGTCACAGGAAGGACTTTGTGTTTCCCCCGGGATGTTTAGAACATTCTCAAGTCAGCATTTACTCTTTGGGTTGTGGCTGGACCATCAAGTTTCACCTCTACAGCGGGATATTAGAAAAACAGTTAAGTGGCAAGGTTATAAGGAAGGAAATGAGCAGACAACAGCAGGCAGCAGAGGAAAACATTCCTTTTTTTTTTTTTTTGCGTTTTCAGTGGAAACATTTAACGCGTCCTAATTAGCTTGTACTGAGTGATGTACTATGGGGGATGAGGTCCACTGGAGTCTCTCAAACACTCTGGACTATATTTCCCGAGGCTGCGGGAGGGAGAGAATCATTCAGGAAGGACTCCGTTAGGCCGCATTACTCTTTTTAAAGTTTGAAGTCATTACCACTGTGTTTTATTACAGATGAATCTAAATGACATGCGACAAATTAATACGTAACAGGGATGGACAATAGGACAGGTGAATAGTGTCAGAAAGCATCCCATGCGGGAAACTGAAGTCAAAGCGAACTCCCTCAAGACATTTCTCTCTCAAGTTCATACGAATTTTCTGATTGTCAGGAACCAAATCCCAAGTGTGATCAAGATGCCAGTTACAGGGATTCCTGATGAGGATCCTTACATTTTGAGCGAAACTTTTTTCTTTTCTTTTTTTTTTCCCCAGGACCTTCTTAGTTGCTGTAATTATATGGAAATGAGACGGGTTTATTTAAGGGATAAGTTCCAAAATTCATGAGATAGTGACGACTTGCAAAGTTACCCTTTTGTGGGTGGCATAATTGTTCCAAAAAACAAATGAAAAATTTAAATTAGTGGTTTCTGACTTCCACTGCAGAATATCTGGTCACAGCTGCTTTTGACTGAAACCTCCCTTGGTAAGACAAGATATGTTAGCTACTGTGTATGTGTGTGTGTGTGTGTGTGTGTGTGTGTGTGTGTGTGTGACACTGGATCATACAAATAGTGCCTTGTTGTAATAAACTAACCCAAATAAGTATTTCTCATTCCCGTTCTTTTGTGTCTTTACTTAAATTCTTTTCACATCATTAGGAAAGGTAAACAATAAAGTACTGTATTT